AACTCATCACCTATATTATGCATTGTATCATAAGGAAAAAACGCCCAGAGTTCATTCAAGGTTAAAAACGTAAGGAAAGATTTTTACCAATCTTGCGAGCACTTCTGGAAAGGAAATCGAAACAGCTATCACTTGCTCAACGAGCATGTCAAAGATCCCGGGGACAGCCACGCATCATGTGAAACTCTCTGACCAGAATGGGGTTTTCTTCTACGAAGCTTAGACGCTGGCACGGGATCAGGAATATAGCAAACGCTGTGTCTGACGCTGATACCTCCGCGACCTGAAAGGATGATCGGTCATCGAAACTGACAAAATTTACGCGAATTACAATGAAAGTGTGCCACACATAAAGATAGAAATTTCAAAATGAGTATTTTGTCACCATGGTATCCAACATCAGATTTCAGACGCTGAACCCTTCATCTGTCTTTGTAATAATCTAGTAATAATTATGCTTCATTATTATATTAAGCTAAACAGTCAACTTGACATCCGACCAAACTGAGGCTTCATCACAACATTATCTGGAAACAGTTGACCCTTGTAGCCTAGGTCATATTTGCTTCTCCTGACATGCAGTTGCGTCTGCGTTGTAAATAATGCACGTTAGCCGTGATATTCCCTAGTGAAAAGGCGTACATCGCATTTTTGCTTGTTTTAAGGTCTGTTTTCGTGAATCATGTAGTGCCATTGGATTGCTACGAAACTTTCCTCTGAGTCATGCTCTCCAGCACTTGCTTAATTATGACTTGTTGTTAACAGTGCAATTCTTTAAGGGAAGCTGTTAGACGCAATTGATTACCTGTTTGGACTTAACACTTTCAAATCAAGACGTCGTCAACGGAAACGACGCCTCAGGATCTGTGTGTTTCTGCATCTTAATCATCGGCAACAGCAGTAATTGACCGTTCATTCTTTGTTATCAGTGAGGATCACCACTCATCGCTTAGAAGCCCACCTTCGTCTACCTCGTGCAATCTTCCGACGTCGACTTCTGTGTGTTTTTTCCAGCTCATCGTCGCATCTGAGACGAGGTCCTCCAATTGACTCCGTCACTGCCATACTCAATCGATCATTCGTTAGTCGTGCAATATGACCTGCCTATTGAGGTTTTCCTTTTTTACGAAACTGATATTACCTCCTGCATTCCCGATCATCTACTTGTTTCTACATTTATCATATTTTCCCTGTAGGAAATTCTTAACATCTGTCTTTCCATAACCCGCTGCTGCGATTTTAGCAGATCTTCATAATTTTTTGTTACGTCCAAATCTCACAATCATATTAAGTAGTTGTCAATGCCCTGCACTTATGTAATATGGCTCTAACTGTAACCGTTAATGCTTTTTTCTAAGAATATTAACTATTCTTCTGTGTGCAATTCACTTTGCCTGACGCCTTCCAGCGAGCTCTTGACGAAATGACTGGTCTGACACAAATAGCGGTTCAAATCCGTATCCGCTATGTCCGTAACTTTATCCATTTCTTCATAATTAATGATCGCTTGGTTATTAATGCGAATTCGTTTCTTATCATTTTTATCTTTACGCTAATCACGCTCGTTTTACGTTTAACTCTAGCTCGCATGATATAGTTTAAACATTTTTTGTCGTCGTCGTCGCAAACAGCACTCTTTTGTCAGCCAGTCGAAGATGTGTGATCATCTTGCCTATTAATTTTGCTGTACATAAAAAGAGAATATTTCCATTCATTTATGTCGCCGTTTTATCAGACAAAGCCGGGGTCTGATCCATTAATCCATCTGATAGTTTTTTAGACCGGCCGGCTCAGCATCTGCTTATCCACGATCTGGCGGATGCATTCTATTTTGAGGGTAATTCGTAGACAATCAAGTTGGAAGCTGTCTAAGCGAGTTTCATGATGCTTCAAGACGGCAGATGTTTCGAGACTCTACATGAACACGGCAAACACGGCTGTTTTGAGGACGGTGATCGTCGTATTAGTTTCTATAGTTTGATTTTCTGATTTCATACAGCATCTCGAAATTCGCGCTTCCACCAGTTCAGTGGGTCGCAGTTTACCTTAGAATCAGTATCACCGGTCATTAACTATATCAGTTCCGTTTTTTCCAACCATACTTAACAATAATTTGGTGGTAACAGGGGACTCTCGTAATCATCCTCATTTTGTCGTTGACGTGTGGCCTCATTCCCACTGCTGCGTAATGCATTGCACTATAGTAGCGTAGCGTCAGCTACAATGGCCTGTACTGCTGATTTGTCTTTAAAGTACATTTCTGAGAGCGACAATTTACGTGGCTAATATCAATTCGGCAAGGTGCAGTTCGATTCATTTTTTACAGCTGACCTGCCGTTCACAGTTTCATGTTTGAGGTCAGTTTAAATCCGTACAATGAATGAGTAGATAAATGAGGCTTTCCGGAGAGGATCGAAATCCAGAAAGTTCGATGACTCTGCGTGTAAGCACCTGCCGACCTGACGAGATCAACATCAGGGCAAGTTTATCACTGATTACCTTTATCGCGCTGGCGTATGCATAGAAGTCCGTGGTAATGTCAACAGATCAAATTACGGCAAGGGTGTTCGTGTGGTTGCCCCAAGCACATGAACTGTTGATCAGTCGGTTGGTCATTGATTAACAGAAGGTCGGCAACCTGAACGTCATCGCAGTGAAGGTACGGCATTTAATACTAGGCCTTCGATCCTAAAGCAATAATCCACATATCAGTGGCGCGTATCAGTTGCGTTTACTGTGCATCGCATCTCGTGCTCTCGCTCAAAACAATTTTGCTACGGTTATTAGTACTTGTTGATCTGCGTACCGTTGAGCGCAATTCAACCACGGCGTCCCATTCAGAGTTTCGATTTAGAAAATGAGGCAGTGAGGGAAACAAACCAACCTGTTGGCCTTGACGGCATCTGTAAATCGTACGGATGCGACACTCGCTCTCACAGCAGCCTGCGCCCATGTGTATTCGTCAGAAACTCATCAACTAATCCGTGTCAGGGAGTTCAACACTGCTGAGATCAAAAGCAAAGGCAATGGAACTTCATGTACGTCAAACTGCACTATCGCTGCCAATTCATCACGCCAGAAACAGATTGGCACCTTCACATTATATCAATAACATTGGACCAGTACACTTCGTACTGTACTGTATTACCGGCTGCTAGTTCATTCATTCTGCGTGTATTATTATTATGCTATTGCAACATCTGTGAATTTTTGATTTCGCGCGAATAAGCTGAAACGCAGTTGACTGTCGTCGAGTAAAACAGAAGCCATGGACCTCCTTGACCGACCCGTCACCGTCGCGATGAGTGGCATGCGATCAACGTTCGTCTTCGTCGGATATTGTATACGCTTCTTAGAAATGCAAATATTGCTCGAGGCCTTTTACTCATTGCTTTCACGTTTAACCATCGGCTAAGAGAAATACAAAATCGCGCGTGAAACAGATAAATCTTAGTTCATTTATCCCCCAGCAGAGGATATTAGGATATACAGTAGTGCAGCCTGATACACACTTAAGTCTAGTTGATTTTGTTCGTTGCTGAATTGCTTATGTTTCCAAGACTTTATTAACGTTGCTTTCTTTCCAGCTCTGGCCACCCAACTACAAAGTACATCTTCGACTGCGAGAGATTCGAAGATCATTAACGTTTCTAAGCCCCATCGCCACGTTGCGTCTACGATCACCACAGGGTGCTATTATTACAATAACTTGTTCATATTTGACCACATTAATAACTATCAGATATAGAAATGGCATCTTTCTTGTCGCAGGT